TTGATGGTACCAATATAAAATAATTTTAACTTATTAAAATGCAATAGAGCTGATAAGTAGTAGAACAGGTGTTTCTTTTCACTGAAATACTGACATTAGTTTACCATTAAGACCTGGTCAGAAATGGCACCTCCGATTTCACAGGTATTGAATCTGAACCCAAGCCTTCTTTAACTCTACGCTCCTAGGTGAGGGATGGGAGCTGAGTTAACTCAACTACAATATCTTTTCTCTTCACTCTCTCCTACCCCATCTGCCTACCTCCTCACTTCCTCTCCAGCTGATTACTAACAAATGACTCCCCCTGCCCCACCCAAGAAACTTTGGAACGTCCCTGTCTTCACTGAGCTGGAAAATACCCTCTTTCTATCTGCCTGCCTGCCCTCACCTTGGCCTGGTCTATGGCACAAAAGAGCTTACTGAGTTGCTGGCTCCAGAGTACTGGCTCTGAGGAGCAGCCCACCCATTCCAGCTTACTTTGTGAGGCAGGGGCAGTACCCAGTTTAAGCAAGACCAAGAGGGAGGCTGGGGGTGGAAAAGCAGGGCCAGGAGGGACTTACTCTGTGAAGACCCCCATCACTAGGGTGACCAGATAGCAAGTGTGAAAAATTGGGACGGGGTGGGGGGTAATAGGTGCCTATATAAGAAAAAGCCCCAAATATCGGGACTATCCTTATAAAATCAGGACATCTGGTCACCTTACCCATCACAAACCTTTCCTTCGTCACAGACCAGCCCTCCTCCTCCTCAGCTGGCTATTCACTCCAGGATGATTCCCTTTACAGAAACAACAGTCTCAACTAAAACTTCTCCCTTTCTTCCACCCAGATGCACAAACTGTACCCGGGCCCACATTCAAGCCTATTTTTCAGGCAGCTGATCAGCATATCCTCCTCCCATTTTTCCATCTCCTTGACCACTTTCCTGGAAAGAGATGTTTTCCTGTCCCCAGGCAGACCTCTACTCTTGGTCCTGTCTGACACCACCACTTTTGGCATGATTTCTCTTATCTTTCACTCTTTGTTGCTTTCCTGCAAGAAGGCATACCTTATAAGGCTCCACTAGTAGAAGAACTGAAATGTCAAAAATGCCTGAGCTGGTGAGAGCAGAAACAGTAAATGATTCTGAGAACAATGGGACTGAAAAGAAAGAATGAACAAAAGAAAGATAGAAAGAATGAATGCACTGTTCCCTTTGGGAAAGAGATCAAAGTTAAAGATATAGATAGGGAAGCTTGTAGATTTCATAAACACTTCTAGTAAGGGGTGGGAAAGGTGATGAATAGAAAATTAGTTAAAAAAAGAATCCAGACACTGTGGGGATTAAATCATAAAAAGCAACTTCTTATGAATTTTAGAAGGGATAACAGAACCCTGTGGAGACTTCTGACAATAACTGTAGGGTTTTTGTCCCTTCTTTTGTCTGTAATATCTTGAAAAATTAGGGGATGCATGTGTGGAGTAGAGTCCATGTCAGTCTATCCCTCTCAGTCTTCTGTTCGCCTTCGTCTGATTTTAGAAAATATGGATAGCCATACTGTGTCAGACCCAGTAATTTTAATATAGGACATCCCTGCATATAAATACATCTCAGGAGATATCCAAAACTTTCAGATAAAAGGGTATTTGAATGGTAGGGAAGCTGACCAACTGCCTTAGGTAACTAAGGTTGCACTCTGGACCTCCATCCCTTGAAGGTCAGTTTTAAAAGGGCCATACTCTGGGTCACTAACCGGAGCATCAGGGGAGTTTTCTGGGCACACACTAAGCCTGGGGAACATAACCAAGTTTAGATTAGCTAGAGTTGGGTTGTACAAGGTTATACATTGTACCAGATGCCATTGTAAGAAGAAAAAAAAGATCAAAACTATTTATCACCTTATTAAACTCAACCATTTTCACGGCTTGTTTTATTTTTAAAAAAATTTATAGAAAAAATTTAAATAAGGAAACCTCACTAAATCCTGCAAGCCACATCGTGATGGGAAGGGTCCCAAAGTTTTTAGAAGGTGGCATTAGAAATGCCTTTTTAATTTGTAAGGACAGCAAAGAACTTTTGGATTCATCTGGATAGTCAAAAATATTCCATAATTCAATAATCAAAATGTGAAGACTTATTGCTACATACACCTGCCCAAATAACTGTCACATCAGAACATGACAAGTATGTCCAGGCTCACTTGCTATGCACATTAGTTGGATATTTCTTGTTTCTGGTACAGCAATTAAAAGTGAAATGGTTATAATTAGGTTTTAAAATTAATAGTCCATTAAGGTGACTGGAAGAAGTTCTCACTTCTCAATGTTATTGCTTTCGTTATTTGGCAGCAAAGCCAATAAGACACCATAGATTAGTTTACACCTTTGAGGCTCTGTCTGAAACCCAAAAGGCTAGAAACTTAATGATCTAGGCTTTTTTCCCTTTAAATAAAAAAGATTCTTTAAAAATCAGCAAAAAATCCTTCATTGGGTAGGCTACGTGGCTTGGAGAAAATAAGACTCTCCCTTCAACTCAATCCTGAATAAGACAATTTTTTTTGAAGATTAAATAAAAAGAATGTCTGATTCATTTTCATACCCCCTCCTTTTGCACACACTTTCATTTCTGTGCACTTCTAGACTTCCTAGTCCTGGACAAGACCAGACATGGACTTGCTGAAATACAGTGAACAATAAAGATGGTTTCTTATGATACTTCCTGACCAAATGTCTGCAAGAATTATCAGAAATCTTGTGGGAGTTCCTGGTTTCTGTAAGATTTTTCCAGACAAATTCTGCAGACCCGAAAGTTTTGGTGAGTCTCAAAAAGCACCAGACTTGAAGGCCATCCAAATTGTACGTAGCCTTTAAACCTTTTCAAGTACACTATCACTACCTGAAATCCTCAGAACCTGTGGATTTCTGTTGTCCCAAGTTGTAAGGAAGACACTCACATAACTGAAACATATTTTGAACACTATTTGTGAGGTGAAACTGGAAAGATGTTCCCATGCCTAGTACAACCCAAACTCATATGTAAATAATAATTTTATCTTTAAGAAAGCAGTCTGCATTTTAAGTTTATGAATCATATATTTCACTTTTATGGCTTGCTTTCAATAAGCTAAATCAAAGTATCCTATATAGTTCATGAAATACTTTCAAACTGTGCCCTGTCTTTAAATGTTCAGTTCTCATAAATACTTTACACATGTCATCATGATGGTCTTTTTCTCCTAATATATGTTCACTGAACTAACTTCTTTATTATTAGCATAATCTATCAAGTTAACTGTTTCCTGATGAAATTTAACATTCCAAATAACATTCCAAATCCTAAACTAGCCACTTCTCTTTTTGCACACTGAATACAAAACGGGTTTACTTAGCACATGACTGACATTTTATAACTCACTTGAGAAAACACATAGACTGAGCCAAATTCTGCACTAACAAATCCTCTGCAATCCCATCAACTTTAAGGACACAATGTGTGGTATAAGTCAGCACAGGATTTCACTTACTGAGGCCCTGATCCTGCTGGACCCTTATGTCCAGCTCCACTGAGGCAAACAGGTCTCCACAAGGGTGGATCGACTGGCAAGACAGTGACCTTAATTTAGTTTTAGGTGTTTGATTTTAATTGATCTCATCTCACTGGTGAAACAAATTTTCTAGTTTAGTCTACTCTATTTACTGTTTTTTCTAATTTGTGTTCACATTTTCTATTTAGTGGATCTCAGAACTGACATGCTGGAGCTAGACTCTCCAGAAAAAGTGAGATTTGGCTTCCTAACCTTCTTCACACTAAATTGCTTTTATTTTATATTATACCCTGTATCCAGTTGCAAACCCCAGCAGTTTCCACGGAACAAGATACAGGAACTGTGTGTGAAATGTTTAGCTGAGTTCAATTTCCTTCCTCTCTCTCTCTGCTGAATTTTTACTCCCTAATGAAAAATATTAAACAAACAAACAAACAAACAAGCTCAAGTAATGAATCACTCTCACCATCACAACACGAACCCAATGCTGTGAACCTATAAGGGATATTTCATTGTGTAACAATATATTCATCATCATGAATAAGAGCTTGTTTTCCCAAGTATGGAATAACTGTGTTATCCTACCACAGACCACCTTGACCAATTCCATTTATATTACAATTTTCTTTAGGAATTAAAAAAAATATTTTAAAAAAGGCCAAAGAGGTTTAGGACCAGCTGCTTCTGTTTAAGCCCAACTGTTTCAGTACTGATGCAGCATAACTACAGTGTGACGTCATCTGAAGGCCCAGCAGAACATACCCTTAAAAATATGTAGGGGTCTAGTCTCCCCTTTCTGCATGTACATTACTGCATCAGAGTGAATGGGAGTTACTCACAGTCAGAGAAGAAAATAAAGCTGGACTGAATGGTTATATTAGGGAAAAAAAATACAGGTTCCCCCATGGAAAGAGAGAACCATTTCGCTAATGTTAACATTTAATTTTGTTTCTTATAATTGTTTATAAGGCAGAATGAATATCCATTAATGATTCCTATTCATTTGTACTTAAGCCTACAGAGATGGGGATTATTCTTGTATCCTATTCCTATGGTTCTTTCCCTCCATCCATTTCTGTTTCTATGTATCGATGTGTATGTGTGAAGATATTTCTGTTGTATATAATTATTATATATTTAATAGAAGCTTTCCTTGATTGGAAAGCTGTAGGGAGAAAAAGCTGAATGTATAAAAGCTGCAGATTATATACAAAAGTGTATATACAACACACACACACACACACACAGAGAAAGAATGACATTATCTAGCCAATCACATAAGACAATGACATAGTATATACTATTCTGAATGTCAAACAATGAAAACCTAAAGTGGTAACACCCCCACAATGCCAAGGGGGCATGACTGTCACTAGTCATTACTGTGTGTCTCTATTTCTTCATCTACCTAAAACTGGATTTTCTTATGTAATTTGACACACTTAATAATGTAGAAAATCAATTAATATTTACTGACCTGTCTCTGCTTCTCCGTGATGGGAAGGCAGCATTACAGCCAGCCACTGTGCAGACATGCATCTCTTTTAAATGAACATTCCTGTAGTGAAGCTTCACACTATAGGAGCTTTTGAAACTCTTCTTGCAGACATAGCAGATCTTGGGATCTGGGCTGGAACACAGGTCCCCTTCTGGGGAGAACTTTTGAGGACTGTTGTAGTTGAATGTTGAAGTGAAACTTTCATGAAGGGCAGCCATACTGGCACTGCCCCCATTATACAGTCCATATTGGCTCATGTAAAACATATCATAGGTAGGGTCTGTAAACTCTTCCTTCACCTTAATTACATCCCGGTGAGAAGATTCGTTGTGATTTTCATCTGGCATCCCACTGTTCATCATAGAGTGTTCATTAGATTCATGGATGCGTTCATCACCTTCCATGGATTCCTCGCACAATTTTGGCTCTGAGGTTTCTGACTCGTTTTCATAGTCTCTCTCGTGCTCTTGGTCTTCTGAGGTCATGCTGTCCGCCCTTCTTATCTCTGTCCTGGAAATGCATCTGATTCTACCATTTTTAGAAAAGTCTTTCACAGACAATCCTGGGCTCATTTCCTCCTGCGAATGGCAGTGATTGTCATGACCAATATCATTAGCCATCATGCTGTTGTCATTAGCCTCATCATCTTCATCGTCAAACTCATCAGCAGTATCAATAACTTCCTTTTCTATTTTAACTGGCATGCTTGACTTCCTTGGTTTCTTCTTAGGGGCAAGGTCAGCATTAGGCTCATGGGTAGGCATCACCATCGCAGGTAACGATGACTCTGAAGGAAGAGGAGGATGCTGCTCCACTGAACCACCTGTTGGTATGATGGGACTGGTGGGTAATGAGGTTGGAGGGCTCACCATCTCTCCAGGAGTAAGTAAACTTCTGTAAAAAGGAGGAACAGGTTGGACAGTCTTTAAAGCTGGAAACACCAGCTGGCTAGAAAGAGGGTTCTGTAGTACAGGGTCTAGCGGGGGAGTAGTAAAACCCATTGGAGGCCGACCAGGGCTTGTTAAGGTAAGACTGGATTTTGTACTTGCTATGACAGGGGTGGCAGCTCCTGATGTAGCACGGATTAGATCTTTGTCTCGGTTGTTCCTTAGCATAGGCATGTGAAGGCGGGGATTAGGGTTAGCACTGTGACGATTGCGACTTCTAAGAGAGCTGAAGACCATGTTGCAGCCTTCAATCGTGCACCGGTGTTTGATTTTAAGATGAACTGCATTGTAGTGGATTTTGAGAGTACCTTTGTCATAGAAAGTTTTACCACATGCATTGCAGAACACTCTCCCTTTTCTTGACGCTGATCCCATTCTTCTGATTCTGTGAATCCTGAATGAGCTTTTTGTGTGCTCAGTTTTGGACAAATCATTGATGGGTGTAGATGTTTGAACGGGAGACGCACAGGCTGGCTCAGTTTTGGGTTCTACATTTGTGATGCTGGTCAAAGCATTCCTGCTGGATGTCTGCTCATTCTTGAAAGGAGTGGGGGAAACTTCAGATTCACTGCTTTCATTATATTCATTTTGGGTAGAAAGGCTTGGTTCACGCAGCCTCAGAGCTGGCTGTTCCAGCAGGAGGCCATTTGGAGGCAGCCCCAGCAATGGAGCAGAGACGGGATTTATGTACTGGAATGGAAGCAGAAACGCAAGGCTGTTAGGGATGTTTTCAAAGTGATGAATGCTGGAAGGGTTGCTGTTCTCCAGGTGAGCAAGGAGACTTGGGCTCCTAGTGCGATTATTGCTTTCAATAAAAGTCCTTATATCTGAATCTGTCTTTGAAGATGGCACAGCCACTGCCTGCCCCTCCTTTTCTTGAATTGCCATCAGCTCCACGATGGATTTGGTTTCTCCAAATCTCAGAAACTGCTGAAGGGTAATAATCTCTTCTTCCCTGGACATGATGGCCCAGCGGTCCAGCACCTTGCCTGCAGCATCCTAGAGGCCATATCAAAGAAACAACAAAGACAAACACAAAGAAAAAAAAACTTATTGATTCTGCATAATTATTGAATTCGATAGAAGGTGCTCTGCTGCCTGTACATGAAACACTAAGCTCAGAAAACAACATGCAAACAGTGTTAATAGAAGCTGATCCACAAAGCAAACTTTTCTGCCATGCAAATGCAGTAATTAGAGTCACAGTTAGAGAAATAGATTGAGTTTAATAATGTCAAAGCAAACAAAATGTAGACTACTGGGGCTCTGTGATCTAAAATGCCTTCAATACTGCTATTATAACAATATGATCTATGTACTATGCAACTGTTTCGCATACATTAGTTTAAGACGTGAATTCTTGCTGTGCAGCCCACTGTAAATACAGAAAACTGTACCTTAATCCTTACAAAATGGTGACACTATAGGAAAGAATGAAATAAATGCATTTGATAGAATTACCTCTTAAATGTAAGTAGACATAAGACTGAATTCAATTAGGAGCAATCTTGTAAAATGCATCTCAAAGAGTTTGAACCAAGACAATTAAAAAGTAGCATAAAAATATTAACAACCTAAATTTTTCCACAAGAGCAATATATAAAATTACATTTATTGCCAACGCACATCAAAAGGCTGAAACTGGGGGGAGGAAAGGAAACACTGCTTTTGAGTGTTACTGAACTTTACTGGCAATTGATTGCAAACTTCTAACCTGGATTTGATTTACACTTAAAATATAACTTTTTTACAGTCTTCTTATAAATGACAGTTACAAATATTTAAAAAGTAAACATTTGATGGATGTGGATAACATAAATGTATAAAAATGTTGTCTCTTAACATTGCCTTCTGATAGCAAGGGAAAAGTCCAGAGAGAATACACATCAGTAATCAGTAGACTATCTGTTGTTAAATATACATTAAAAAGCATTTCACACTTTCATTTTTGCTAGTAAGTATGAGATTTGCCTGAAGGTAGAACTTAAAAATTCTGCACTGTAATGTCAGGCAATCCATTCCAGCATGTATTGATAAAAATGTATTAAAATACTTATATAATGAATACATTTTATCAACATCTCCCCCATTGGGCTAATGCTGGACATGTCACCACCTCTGTAGCTACCAACAAACCCTGTCCCGTGACCATCAAGCAGAGATGCTCCAGTGTCTACTGCATAGAACTGCCAGATACCTCTGCATGGAACTCCTGAGTGCTGTCTTTTTGTTTTGTTTTTTTTTAAATCTTGGATCCCAGATTTAGAGCCCTGTCTAAACATTTAGGAGTACCCTATGCAGCAAAAATCATCAGAAGTGGTTTGAGTAGAAAAACAGTGTATTTATATGAAAATATGAAAATTATTTTCCACATTACAGTAATGATTCTAGGTTTTTTCATGTTAATTTTATAGCACTGTAAATCAATTTTCTCAAATGATGAAACATACACGTAAAACTCCAGCTAGGACTCGTTTTGCTTATTTTAGCTCCGATTTATCTCAAATCATAGGATGCAAAGCTAATGAAATTAGTTAATGTCACTTATGTTGCAATAACTTAGATGTGGCTATAGAGCCACTAACATGGTTCATAGTACCAGGTATGAATGATATCACACAATCCAATCTAACAGGAATGTAATTAATCCATGACAGAACTATAACGATGGGGAAAACCTTAAATTGGCCTTAATCCTGCAAGTTGATCCATGTAGGCAGATCACTGCCATGTGGAGCCTTCATCAATGGGGATCTGTGCAGATTAAGGGCCCTCCTTGTGAAGAGCTGCTTGCAAGATAGGGCTATAATTTGTTGGTTTGGTTCAGTAAGCAACCAAAGCTTTGAATACTTTTCCTAACATAGTAAGGGCTTCTTTAACTCCTATAGCCTTATAATTCCATCTGTCCTGCTGGAAGGGAATGCCTGTTTTACAGGAACTCAGTGTGATTCAATGCAATTTATCCAAAAGGGCAGGAAGTCCTTGGGACTGGGATTACACTTTCCTTCCTTCCAAATTCCAAACTGGTTATCTTTTGATTATTTTCCCTGCATACGTTTCAAAAGGTTCCTTATTTCTCCATTCAATTCCACCACAACCTCCACCAGGCCTGCCCTTCCATGCCATAATGATTCTACATTTGTAAATACCAGTATCTCACCTGGACCCTAAAATGGCCTCACAGTTCAAATTTTGAGCCCTCCCCTCCCCACTTCCCCAACAGCTTTTACCTGAGTCAGAGTTTAAATAGAGGGGAAAGGTCTCAACTCATATTGTTTGGAGGCAGGATCTGAGAGTTCCTGAGCCCAGATTTCCAGAGAGAGTCTGGGACTGTCTGAATGCTGCCAACTGTGGGTGTTTGTAATGCACTATTGATAGCAATTTATGTTTTTTACATCCAGAGGCTTGTGTAGTAGGAAATGTCTATTTTATAAATGTGGACAGATACATAAATAAAGAAATGAGATTTGGATTTGCCGTTTGCATCCAAACAAGCCATGAGACTGGAAAACGACGGGCTTCTCTGTTGTGGAGCCCATAGAAACCAGGAGACTTGGTGGAATTGAGTTTTATGGCACACGTTCTAGTATTTTGTCCCGCCTGGGCTGAAATGTCCCACGTGATGGGGCTTCCACCACTTCCCTTTGGAAGTTATTCTGCAATTTAATACATATTCTCTCTAAAAGAAGTTTTCCTAACACTTTGCCTAAATTGTCCCTCTCTCAATGCTAAAATGTTACACTTATGTATACTCTTATAGTATCTATTATAGGATTTTCTAGAGTTGTGGGGAGGACAATGAAACATTGGAGGCCAGATCCTCAGGCTCGGCTACAGTGCCAATGAGCTCTTAAACAAGCAGTTGAGGATTTGATTGGCATTGGGTTATCCTCAGCTGGCACAAAGACAACAGCCCAATGGAATCAGACAGTTGGCTTAAAGCGACCGTAGCCTACTCCTACCAGCCATATTGAGTGATAGTTCAGCACAGCTAAAGATTCAATTACTAATTCCCTAAACCACCCCGTGCTCCAATCATTAACATCTTTAGGGCCAATCCTACAAGCTGTACAAGGACTAGGTTGCCAATCACAGCTCCCACTGGCTGCGGTTCACCGTTCCAGGCCAATGGGGGCTACGGGAAGCGGCGTGGGCCGAGGGATGTGCTGGCTGCTGCTTCCCGCAGCCCCCATTGGCCTGGAATAGCGAACCGTGGCCAGTGGGAGCTGCAATTGGCTGAACCTGCGGACGCTGCAGGTAAATAAACCGTCCCAGCCCGCCAGCAGATTTCCCTGATGGGCCACGTGCCAAAAGTTGCCAATCCCCATTGTAGTTAATCATGCAAACTTCTGACAGTTTTACTTTTAGAGCGAAAAGGTTGATGAGATAACATCTTTTACTGGACCAACTTCTGTTGGTGAAAGAGACAAGGTCTGTGTAGCTCGAAAGCTTGTCTCTCTCAGTTGGTCCAATAAAAGATATTACCTCACCCACCTTGTCTCTCTAAAAACCTGGGACCAACATGGCTACAACAACACTGCAAACTGTTTTGCTTTTGTCAGATTTTGAGCAAATCTTTATTTTGTTTTCCATGTTGTGAATGCTACGTTGCTTATTGAAGGTCTCATTCATGTGAAGTAAAGAATATTAAAAATGCATGCTATTGACTTCAAGACACTGTAGGTTGGATTCATGAATAACAGGAAGATTTTTTTTTTTTTTTTAAGGAACAGCAGTTTATATTCACAAGTTGTCTATTGTTAATTTTTAGCTAGAAATACAATTTTTCTAACAATATAGAAAAGTGGTTTGGGGTCACTATATTTCATAGAAACTATAGCACCTATGTACACTGCATAACGCATAGTTCAATATTTACATAGTGATGGTTTCTATAAATCACTGTAAGTATGTATTAAAATTCAGAACTAGATAAAGAGCAAATAGGAATGTCATTTTTTGATAAAACTTGAAAATTAAAAAAAAATCTAACCATTATCCCTTTGAATTAAGCTATAACTAGCTAGGGATCTCTTTGTATACCTTAATACTTGATTAGAGGTTCAAGTCCTTTCTTACGTGTAATCGATTTCTTGTTTCTTACAATCTCTCATACTAAATTTTCTCCCCAAAGCCATTAAATCATATCCACATTTAAATTTTTCATGACAAAAGGCTCCAATTTATATTACTTTTTTTCAGCTCAGTACCGATTAAGCCAAGCCTCCTGTGACAATATGTACAAGTCAGTCAGTCAGTGTAAAGATACCAATGTATGCTTTTACCTCTAAGCAAGCCAGTAGACAAGCATGCTTAACCTGTACAGCAATACAATGGATGCTCTTGCTTCCCTGCCATACAGCCTGATTTTATATATTGGTGGCTCTCTTCAGATTTCAGAAAGAGAGAATTCTTCAAGCCTCTAAACCATATAAATTAACCTCTAAGGGTAGAAGACCTATAACCTTAAATCTTCCTCTCTCCAGGTCTAAACACACACTCAATTTTCTCTCTATCTATATTATTAGTATAGACATAGATACACATATACACACACTATATTAGGTCTGTGAAGCAGTGTCACGGTTAATCATCCTGAACTTGTCTCCTGATTTTTACTGACCTGTAGGTTAGGACGATATGTGTCAGGATGCATCTTGTCCTAACTTCTGGGTCACATCAGAACAAGTGATGGGTTTAGGATGATTATCTCAGATGATACAAATAGGTTAGAGTAGAAGACAAACACAAAGTTCACTCTAATTTTTATGAGTTTAATTGGGGAGGGCTGGAAAGGGGGAGATTTGGTTTCATGGTGCTCTTTGAACTTCACAGCTTGTAAGTTTTTGAGTCAGCCTGAAAGCCTCTCAACTTAAAAGTTGCCTATTTAAAAAGTGAGGGTGGCCTCTATGCAACATATATGCCTTTTCAACCTAGAACTTCTGTTTTAAAATCAAGTTGCTTTAAACTCTTGTGAAAAGACTCCTATGATCTCCATT